TCCCATTCTACAACAGTGGCACCATGCAATATTTGTCCCTTTGTGACTGGGACATTTCACTCAGCATAATGTTCTCCAGAGTCAGCCATTTTGAGTAATATTGCATGAGTTCCTTGTTTTTTAATGCAGCCTCAATATTTATGGTAGTAGATCACCACCCTTTTCTCCTATGGTAGGCGACTGGATGATTTGAACTGCTAATCTTCACATTAGCAATCCAACACAAAATACTTGTGTTACTTCAGAACCTTAAGAATGCAAGCCAAGGGGAGCTCTGGTGGCCTAGTGGCAAGAAGTTGCACTGCAATGCTAGAGGTATGTGGTTCAAATCCACCAGATGCTCTGCCAGAGAAGGAGGGACAATTTCCTCCTGTAGCAGTCAGATCTGATTTGATGGTACATGCTCAAAAAATAATAATAAAATAAATAAATAAAAATTTTAAAAAAAAAGAATGCAAGCCAGCACTGCCATAGAGTCAATTTCAACTCATTGCCACCTTATAGGACAGAATAGAACATATTTCTCTGATGCGCTTGAAATAGGGTCAAACCACCAACCATTTTGTTAGAAGTCAAGTGTTTTAACTTCTGAGCCACTTCAGTTATTGGTTGCTTCATTTCCTTGAGTCATTGTAAAAAATAAACTTCATATCTGGGCTCCATATAGAAACCACAGCAGTCTTCTTGTCTTACACTATTAAATGTCTTTGCTCTTAGTAGATATTAATGAAAAGAAGTTAATTTTTTATCTCTGCTTTTAAACTAATTTTGTCAGTATTTCATTGTTGAGTGATTTTTTTATTAAATTCTCTTTAAAACATTTTCGGTTGATTTCTCATTCTTTTGCTATTTTACAGTAGTGGCTGTTGAAAGATTGGTTGATCTTTAGTATGTAGGGTGATTTGTTATCATACTATCTAATAAAGGTTTGTAGTTTCCAGAAAAATGATTGAGATCTTTTAGGTATACTATAAAGAGTAAACGTCATGTATTTTTGAATTGACATCCATTTAAAGATACATTTTAGTGAGCACAAGTATTAGAAGAATAAACAGTCTCTTCGCATGTGCTTTATAGACTTGGAAAACTCACTGGAAGGTCAATTATAAGTCAGTTCTGACTTGTGGTCACATAACACCACCACCATGTAATTGCTGTCTGCATCAAAATATAGGAAAAAAACTGAAAACCTTTTCTCATGGCTTTTCTTCCACAGTCACTCTCCCTCCCTCATAGTCTCTTCTGTGATCTTTCTCATAGTTTAGTTTTACTCGTTCTAGACTTAATATAAATGATATTATACAGGATGTACTTTTTTATGAGTGACTTCTTTTGCATGACGGTTTTATGAATTCATCTGTGCTTGTTGTAATTATCAGTGCTTCATTTTCATTGCTGAGTGGTATAAATGTCACATTTTTTAAGGTGAAAAATAACTTTAAAATTATGTTAGCTAAACTTACCTTTGTCTGAATAATCGGGACATTATTTTTCTGATCATGGAATTAATTCTAGCCTCATTCTAGATATTTCTATCTTAATAACAGAGTTGTAGTAAGATAAAATAAGTTGTATAGCCCTTAGTAATAATCCATTACATGGATTTAGTATCTTATAGCTTGGGAATCAGAGGTAATGATTTAAAAATAGTAGCATTATAGAGTAGCAGCCATATGAATTGAACAGTAATGATGAACTTTCCAAAATTTGTAAATTGTAAAGTAATTGATATTTTTGAAGTGTCAGATAACACTTTTTCATTTTTTATTGTAGGTGCTACAGAATATTTTGGAAACAGAAAATGAATATTCTAAAGAACTGCAGACTGTGCTTTCAACTTATCTACGACCTTTACAGACCAGTGAAAAGTAAGTTACATGGCAGATTGCTTTAACCTAAAATGGTTTTTCTCTTAGATTGTTCGCTTTTATTTTCAGCGAATAGAGACTGTAGTAATGGAATGAAATTTAATATACAAACTTTTCATAGAGAGCTTATTAGTTTAAGAGTTTAGAAAAACATTGGAAATAGAGCAAAAGAGAATATAAAGTATTTACACTTTTTAAGAAATTTTTTTTTATTACATTTTGTGTGTGTACCATCTCAAATTGGGTCTGACTGGTACATGAGGAGATTGCCCCTCCTTCTCCAGCAGAGGATCTGGTGGATTTGAACTTTGTGCCTCTGGGATTGCAGTGCAGCTTCTTGCCACTAGGCCACCAGAAAAGTATTTACATATTTTAATCTATTATCTTTCTTGATTCTAGGTTAACATCGGCAAACACTTCATATTTAATGGGAAATCTAGAAGAAATATGTTCTTTTCAGCAAATGCTCGTACAGTCTTTAGAAGAATGCACCAAGTAAGATGATAAAAATCGGCAAAATTCTGATTGGCATAATTTGTTTTTAAAGGATATAGTTTAAAATAATTTTAGAATTCACATTTCCACAGATAAAAACGAAATTATTTTGAATGTTCAAAATGGGCCAGATTTTATAATAATAAAATGTTTAGAGTTTCTGAATTTTTTTAATTAATTAATTTATTTTTTTAGTATTAGAAGAATACAAGAGAGGAATCTACTGACTATTCATGAGAAAGTAGAGTGATTTTTTTCCCCAAAGGTGTTCAGGCGTAAATGAATAACAACATGTGAAGAATCATAATCGTGCCATGCTGTTCCCTCTCTTCTCTTTCTATAAGAAGGAAACCTGCATGCTCCAGACAAAGGGCACTTCTGTCTTCATTCTTGGATATTGGGTTTCCAGCGTTTTCTTCTAGGATATATGTTATTTCTGTTCTTGACAAAGCCAATCAGTTGTAAAGCAGCACACTCATGCAGCATGTTGATTCTGATGTGTTTGGGGACTTGTTTTTGCCCCATGATATAGCCACCAGAAGGAAAAGAATACCGTTTTCTCTTGGATTCTGTTTGATTTCTAGTTTTCCCTCTGACTTGTTTCTCTGTCATTCCTATACTGTACTTTTAAAAATTAAAAGTACTTTTTCCATTTTAGAATTTCTACTTGATTTTCTCAATTTTTTTTTATTAAAATAGTTTCTATTCCTCTGCTTAGATTTTTTTATATATACATTCAATTCAATCATATTTTTTCTTTTAGTGTAAAATTTATCAAATGTAATGACAGTGAGATTGAATTTATATGTAAAGAAGTAAAGAAAAGATGGAGATAATGAAATAAATAATTTATTTGTTGATCTTAAAGTTTATGCAGCAAATAGGAGTGTAGTGGTGGTATAGTGGTAGAATTCTCTCCTTCCATATGGTTGTTGTTGAGTTCTGTCAAGTTGGAAGCAACTCATAGTGACCCTCTAGCAGATTTTCAGAGCCAATAATTGCAGAAGAAGAGATTACACATTCCTTTGCAGAGTGTCTAGTGAATTTGAACCCTGTGCCTTCGCTTTTGCAGCACAGCCTCTTACCATAGGCCACCAGAGCTCCTTGGTAGATCTGAGTTATGTAGGCTGTCTTCTCGCTCCTTGGCTAATACTTCTCCATTCTCTTTCTCTTCCATCAGCTTCAGACACAGTAAACTCCTTGCCTTGGGTTTCCTATTTCCTGTACAATGTCTGGTTAACTATCCATCCTTTCAGTACCCAGGTTAATGGACTTCTTCAAATAAGTCTTTCTGGATTTTATCCTCATTACTTCTGGGATATTACTAGCTATACTCATCTGCACATGCCACTCAGTTTACCTTCTTTTTTTTTTTTTTTTGCATTTCTTAGGTGCATAGTACTTTAAAGTTGGGAATGTTCTTGGAAATCACATAGGGTATCTATCATTTCCATCAAAACTGACACATAGCTCTAGCAGGTTTCTAAGACTAAATTATCGTGGTTATTTTCCCCTGAAATATTTGTACTAAATACCATTGTTCAGAGAGAGTTGAGCTGCTAACCCAAGGTCAAGCCTTTCTAGCAGTTCAAATCCACCAGTGTTTCAGAGGGGGGAAAATAGACAATCTCTTCTCATTCAATTTACAGCTGTGGAAACCCACTGAAGTGTTAGCTATGTTAGGTTCTGTTGACAGTAAGGGAAAAAGATACTCTTATGATTTTAAAGAACATTGCAACTCTAAAGTGCTAGAAATCAAAGAAATGCAAAAAGTAAAGGTAAACCGAGTGGCATGTGCAGATGTACATAGCTACTGGTGTGTCAGAGATAATAATGATTTTGGCCTACAAAGACTGGTTATTGATGAGAAGCTGATTCTGTTTTTGGAAGGACAGAGGTGGTCAGGAACCATTTTTAGTAAAGGAGTACTCTACAGTGTAACTCAAGTACTGCTACTTTCTGGTGCTTCTGTAGTCCTTGAAAGAGTTGGTCATATTTATGATTGGTGGGTCTGAATTGTCATTTGCTAGGGTATGGTCATTACCTTAAGTAGAAACTAAACGTCTCCTTGCATAATCTTGTCTCTAGACTCTTCTTTTTGTTCATAGACTATGCTGGGTTCATTTAGGTGTCCCTGAAGATACCCAGCTTGTAATTATATTTTAATGTTAATTTTATTTCACCTTGAGACCACCGATTAATGAACTGTACTCTTGCCTTTCTCTGATTAAAAATACCAGTGAAGAACAAGTGTTTGATATTTTTATGTACTGTTCAGCCGGAGACAACCCGTAGCTAACTCTTTAGAGGGTTTTCAGAGGCACTAAACTCATAGGAGAAGATTGCTCATCTTTCTTATACAAAATAACTTACTAGAGGAAGAATATTGTCCTCCAGTTCAATGGCTTCTCACATTTTTTTTCTCCTCGAATCTAGTAATTTTCCCTTTGAGAGAGGAAGACATTTAGTTGGGCATCCATGTTTTACCTTTAACTGTTAAACATGGTTAGAAAAATCCTAGAGGCAGGCCTGTACTCTTTCCTCAAATCTTGGCATTTGTTCTGCTAGGAGCTGTTGATGGAAATGATATAAAGAGCTCAAATGATATACTATATCTCTTTTATCAGTCCATATGCATTATTTCTCTTTCATCTGTTATATACAACTTATTAGTTATTCACATATTCTAAAAAATAATGTCCAGAAACAGAAAATGAAAGCCCTGTGCTTTATTTAAGGCGTATTCTTCATTGATGACTTTTAGAACTTTTTGCTTGTATCCTGTTAACTCTTTTCTCTCCAAGATGTTAAGTAGAAAATGTATTGACATGATACCTGTGTTTGAGTCTTAGTCTTCTGCTTGATAGTGTGTGTTAGGAAAATTCTCATAACGTAACATCTAATACATTTTTGGAAAGTGCTTTGTAAACTGTATAGCAGTGTGTGTAGTAATGAAGGTTATGGCTGTTTCTCGAACAGCTTGTCAGTGACAGAGGTAATAAATCTGTAGAGCCTATAGGCTTGAGGAAGCAACCCAAAATTTAAAAACAAAACAGAACAAAAACACCAAAATGAGACTAACTGTGTATAATGCGGTTTTGTCCATAAAGGCCAAAACCAAACCTATTACAGTCGGTTGTGACAGGCTAGAATTTGTTCCAGAGAGTTCATAAGACCATAATCTTTTCTGAAGCTGACAGCCACATCTTTCTCCCTTGGAGCGATTTAAAGTCACCAGCCTTTCAGTGAGCAGCTGTAAACAACCTCTGTGGCATTAAGGCTTCTCTCCATGCCTACTTACTGTTAGATGCCATTGAATCAGCTCTAACCGACAACCTTACTGTGTACAAGTCAAAACCTTGTCTAATCTTGTGCTACCATCACAATCCCCTCTGTGTTTAAACCTCTTGTTGTAGTCACTATGTCAGTCTTATCTCCTTGAAGGTCTTCCTCTCCTTTTCTGACCCTCCACTTTTAACTTCTTCAGGGACTTACCCTTCCTGATAACATGACCAAAGTAGGTGAGATGAAATCTCTCTTCCTTGCCTCTAAGGAGTACCCGGGCTATATGTATTCCAGGATAGATTTGTTTGTTCTTTTGGCACTCAGTTTTATCAAGAAGCTTGGGTGATGTTGTATGCCATACAGTTGGAACTAACCCATATCTGATACTCCAGAGGGTTTTCAGAGGTGGTAAATCATACAAGAGGAGATTCCCCATCCTTCTCCGGCTGAACAGCTGCTGAATTTGAACCACTTGCCTTTGTCATTGCAGTACACCTTCTAACCACTTGACCAATATACTTTGGTGGCTTGGTAAGGAATTGCACTGCCTATTCAAAGGTGGTTGTTATTGTTGTTATGTGCCATAAAATTGACTATGACTAATAACGACCCTGTGTACAGCAGCTCTGAATCCCGGTCTATCCTGTGCCAACCTTTTTTCTCTCACATGCTTATCCTAGTCACTGAGTCAGTCCATCTCATCCAGGGTCTTCCTCTCGTTTGCCCCTCCATCCTTCCAAGTATGATGTCCCTCTTCAAGAACTAGTCCTTCCTTGCAACATGCTCTGAGTATGTCAGACAGAGCTTAAAAATCCTTGCTTCTAAGAAGCAGCCTACTTACCCTCTCCAGGATGTACCTGTTTGTTTTCTTAGCAGTCTATTCAGTGGTTGAGATCTTATCAGTGCATAGTGGATCTTATGCTTAATCATATCCACGTTGTAAGAAGATTGGCACAAACAGACACAGACACCCATTCCTATGTGAAGATTGTCTATTAACTAAGGAACATGTAGCCTCTGACAATGAAGAAATATATAGCTGAGACTGATTCCATCCTCCCACCCCTCAATTCTTTTCTGCATGCTCATACTAATATTTTGGTTTGAGGGCTTATTAAGTGTAGTTCCTGTCACTTACCTGTTAAAACGTTTCCAGTTGTTTGGAGTGTTTACTTAGTGGATTTGACTCCTGAGGACGCTCAAAATCTATCTGCTGCCTACTTTTAACTTCTGCATTAGCTTGTTCTCCTGATATTTTCCCCTGTTTTTTCTTAGAGCCCGTGGGAGGTGCAAATGGTTAACTCATTGGAGTACTAACTAAAAGATTGGAGTTTCATGTCCACCCATAATTTATTATGTAGTTCGTAACAAATTGTGGCTTAACAGTGAGATGAGTGGAAGTTCCAGAACACTGAATTGTGTTCATGAGAAACCTATACCTGAACCCAGAGATGGCCATGCGAACAGAGCAAAGGCTCAGTATATGTATGGTCTAATGTTAACAAAAGTGTGCATCAGGGTTATATCCCCTCTTCATACTTGTTTAGTCTGTATGCAGAGCAAATCATTACAAAAACTGGACTCTGAAGAAGAATGTAGATTCAGGATCTGAGGAAGACTCATCACCAACCTGTGTTACACAGTTGACACACCTTGCTTGCTGAAAAGGGAAAACTTGGATCACTTGCTGCTGAAGATCAAAGACTACAGCTTTCAATATAGATTATATCTCAATGTCAAGGAATATAGTCAAGGAAATAAAATTTCTCATCACTGTTAGACACTATCATGATAGATGGAGAAAAGATTTAAATTGTCAGTGACTTAACATACTTGAATCTACACTTAAAACCTTGGTACCACACCTCAACAAGAACAAGGTAAACAACCTAATCACAAAATGGGCACAGATTGTGAATAGACACTTGCCAAAGAAGACACTCAGATGGCAAACAAACACTTAAAGAAATGTTCAAAATCCCTAGTTGTCAGAGAGCTGCAAGTGAAAACAGCTATGAGATGTCATCTCAACCCAGCAACAGCAATAGCAAAGTTCAGCAGGGTAGCAGACAACGCTGGTGAGGTTATGGAGAGATTGAAAATCTTCCTCACTGCTGATGGGAATGTATAATGGTACAACCGCTGTGGAAGGTGGTCTGGCACTTTCTTAAAAAGTTGGAAATAGAAATATCATTTGACGCAGCAGTTCCACTACTGGGACTATACCTTAAAGAAACCAGAGCCATGACTCAAACAGATATTTGAGTCACCCATATTTATTGCTGCATTATTCATAATAGCAAAGAGATGGAAGCAACCCAAATGCCCAACAACAAATGAATGCATAGGAAAAACTATGGTACATTCATACAATTTTAATATTGTATAGCATTGAAAAACAGTTAACTTGTAAAATATTACACAGCATGGAAGAGTCTCAAGGACATTATGCTGGGTAAAATATCCAGTCACAAAAGAACAAATACTGCATAACACAGAAATTATAAAATAGGGCAGATGTGGGGGGGTTGGAGGAGAGAATGGGAAAAGAGTGGATAGATAATGAACACTGCATTAGATCAGTTAAGGGCAAGAAGTGTCCAAAAGGAATATATGATTAGACATTATATGTATGACAACAATCTGGAACAGAGGATACATTGCAGAGAAGGCTAGGGACGGGGGAAGAAAATGTACAAAAATGAAAATAAAACATTTTTAATGTTAAAAAAATCCTAAAACCCCAAACACCTTCGTACCAGCCTCAGGAGATGTTTTACAGTGGGACAGTCTGCAATCAGGGACCATTCCATATTATTGATGAACAGTGATGTCATTTTCAGGACTAAGGTGCATCTAATTCAGACCATGGTCTTTTTAGTTACTTGGTATGCCTCTGAGAGCTGGACAATAAATAGGATGACAGAAGAATTGATGCCTTTGAACTGAGTATCCCATGAACTGCCAAAAGAACAAACACATTTTGTTTTGGACAAGGTGCAGCCAGACTGGCAAAGACGACAGTGTTTCATCAGGAATGTTGCTAGAAGAGGATATTCCCTGGAGAGGGACATTATGCTTTATGGGACAGAGAGGGACAGCGAAAGAGAGGAGACCTCTCAACCAAATGGATTATCATAGTGACCGCAGCTAAGGGGTCAGGTGCGTGAGAGATTGTGAGGACGGCACTAAGTAAGACAGCATTCAAATCTGTTGTTCTGAGGGGTCACTTTGTGTATACTCGACTCCATGGCACCTAATAACAAGAACAAATGGCTAGTAACAAAAACTGAAGTGTTTTGGCCTAGTATTCTAGTATCATGTCATTTTAAACTTAACTGTATTTATAAAAACCTTATTTCCATATAAGATTACATTATGAGATTCTAGGACTGCCATGAAATTGACATGATACACTGTTCAACTCAGTAGTCTCCATTTTTTTTTTTTTTTTTAATTTTTTGTGTGTACCATCAAATTGGATCTGACTGGTACAGGAGGAGAATGTCCCTCCTTTTCCAGCAAGGCATCTGGTGGATTTGAACCATGCACCTCTGGGATTGCAGTTTAGCTTCTTGCCACTAGGCACCAGAACTGCTCTAGTAGTCTCTACTTTTTAATCCAAAGTGAAGGATGTCTTATGTATGAATTTTCCTTCTACACTGGAGGGTTTTTTCTTGTGCTTATCTTGATGTTCCTTTAAAATTTAGAGTTCTCCTTGTCTAGTCATTAGAGCTATGTTGCAATTCAAAAGGCATATGGTGTGAATCCACCAGCTGCCCAGGAAGAGAAAGATGAGCAGTCTCTGGTGTGATTTACTGCCCTTGAAAACCCGCTGGACGGTCAGCTGTGGGTTGATTCTGACTCAGTGGTGGTCAACACCACCATCACCACTTGAAAATAGAATGCTTTATATTTCAAATAGTCATATTTTGTAATTCTGTGTATTTTATGCAAAATTTAAGTCTTCATACCATCTTTTTTTTCTTCATCTTTGTTACACTGTATCCAAGTCCTGATATGGACATTGCTTCTTTCAATGTAATTTCTTCTCCATGCTTGATGTATGATATGAAGAGATATAATATTCTGTGTTTTATTTTTGTAGATAAAACATCAACAGAAGTGTTTGTTATTAGAAATATTATGCTTACTAATAATTTTCCTGTCTTTAATGATTATTCCCTTGTTGTATGTTTTCAGGTTGCCTGAAGCTCAGCAGAGAGTTGGAGGCTGCTTTTTAAATCTTATGCCACAAATGAAAACCTTGTACCTTGCATATTGTGCCAATCACCCATCTGCAGTTAATGTTCTCACAGAACACAGGTGTGTTCATGTAGACATTTTTAAAAGTTAAACATAGTTAAGTACCTTCTAAAATATCTGTTTCACTCAAATACTGTGTGCAGTGCAATTTTAATGTTGATGTAATTAGAATATATTACATTTTTTATTTGGGTTTGTTGGTTGATTTTGGGGGGGGGTATTTTGTATCCTATAAAAATGATACCAGAGAATTCTGGAAAGTAAGTTGAAATGCTGATCAGTTTGGTTTTTGGGTTTTTGTTGTTTTTTTTTTTTTTTAAGTTTGTTGGCTTTTTAGTTAATAATTTTTTTTGTTTTTAAGTCTCCTCTCCAACCTAGCCTATTTTTGGAAAATGGAACAAAGGAACTAATAAGTGTTCTTAACTATTGTGACAAATTAATGACTGTTGTTATGTGTCATTAAGTTAGAACCAACCCATAGCTGATCTTCCTTGGATTTTGGGAGACAGTTAATCGCAGGAGAGGAGATTGCCCATCCTTCTCCCATGGAGTAGCTGGTGGGCTCCAACCATGTGCCTTTGGGATTGCAGCGCAGCCTCTTGCCACTAGGCCACCAGAGTTTCCTTTAATTAAAGGTTATTAAAATCATAAAATCATTTCTGAGTTTATAGCACTTGAAATATATCAGATTGAATTTATTTTTCTATAAGAAAGAGGAAACACCTCCTCTAAGATTCTCTCTCTCCCTAACTCTTTCTGTGTCTGTCTCGTTGCTGTTGAATTGAAACCTATTTCATAGTTGACCCGCCATTGGGTTTTTGAGTCTATACATCACATGGGAAGAAATTGTGCATCACCCACTCTCTAGGCCACTGGTGGATTTGCATCACCAGAGAGGCATGACTTTTGGGGAAGTAGTGCAGCTCCCTGTCGTCTCAGGCAATCAGAGCACCCTCACTTAAGACTAGTATTGAGTTTTGTTTATAAAGTAATAGAGATTAGTAGCTTTAGGTTTTTCTAATTTAGAATTAAAATAAGTTTTTAGAATTTACAGACTATTTACCAGTATTTTTTTTAAAAAAATTGGTTTTTATTTCAGTGAACGATTCAAATCATACTAGTTTTTCATGGAATCTTTCATTGACATTTTATTTCAGAATATCACTGATTAGCACTGTTAATGAATTACTTACAGTTTCTAATTGTATATTGCTTTTCTCTTCACCCAACTTACATGTTTATTAATTTTAAACTATTACAGATTGCTCTAAAATTTACCATTTGTTCAGAATACTTGAAAACTAAATGTTCTCCCCCAACAAGTCAGTTTCCCGTTTTATTAAAGTATCATCAAACTTGAATTGAAGTACCAACCAGGTGCTGATTGGAAAAGAAGTTAGACTGCTTTGTGGTCATAGAAGGAGAGACCCTTCTTCAATCCTTTCTCATTCTCTGGTGGTCTTCTAGCTCCTCTTCTTCCTGGAAGTATGCTCTTCATTAGAGTGATGTCTTTCTTAAACTGTGAAGCATGTACCTAGTTATGTGCTATACTGTCTACTTCTGAGAGTTGTAAAGGAAATGTTCATTTTCACAAAATACAGATATTATACAAAGGGAGCTCTGGTGGCCAAGTCCATAAGTGTGTTGTACTATTAACCAAATACTCAATATGCACTGCTGAATATTGTTTAGAAATTATTGACAGTAATGGAGAAGATGGGCAAAATGCGCATATAGAATGGCAAATCTGTAAATTGTCTTTTCTTTTTCCCCCCCTCTACCCATCCCTTTTATTTATTTTTAAAATCCTTCTGCATGAGGTTGGAAGTGTACAGTTTTGATGTTCTCCTAGTTTTTGGAGTCGAGTCTAAATATTTTTACCCTGGAATGTGTGAGGATAATTTCTAAAGATAGCACTTAAAGAAATTGGAATTGTTTCAAAAATGTTAAGATTTTTAAAGAGAAATGCATATTAACCATGTATTATCTTTATTGATCACCATTATAGTAATAGTTCATGTCATCTCTGAAATGTAACATTTTCTCAAAATAACTAAAGAATGCAGATCAGTTTCTACATCTAGAAACTCTTTTGTGCCTCCTCCCTTTGGAATATCCCAGAGTTTGAAAGTGGGTGGACTTAGCTCAAACTCTGAACAACAGTTCTGGAGCAAGTTGCTTTTGAATTCAGCTTTAGGATTCTAAGCTATCAAAAGAGAAAAGTCCAGGAGGGAGCCAGCAAGCAACTCAGATGTTAGGCAGAATGAGATGCTTGTGTGCTCTGCTCAGACCTCACAGCAGTGAGAGTTCCCATTCTGTCTACTACAAGTCAGATCCCACTTCAGAAGCGTAAGTTGGTGAATTGAGACTGGGGAGCCATTTGACAAATAGTTCCTTTTAACTACTTTTTAATATTTAGATTCTTATAGCCCTTTGCTGCTTCACTACATTTATTATTTACAGTCTTAAAACTGTCCAGTTATAGATAATTTAGTCTTTTTTTCCCTTGACTTTAGTAAGGATTAATTTTGTTATAGTGTTTTTAAGAAAAGTCTTATTTACCATCTTGCTTAAATTCTGAGTATGAGTATTACCTAATATATTGTAGAATCACTAATTCTCTATATATATAACTGATAAGGTACTTTTGCATTATCCTATGTTGATCGACAGTGCATATGCATGGCTAGTTGAGTGAATGAGTTTCATAATACAGTCTGTAAAAAAGTGAGTGGTTTTCTTTTTCTCCCCTAAAAGTTTGGTTGTTACATTTTGCTTGGTTAAATGAGAGTTCTTTTTATGTGTGTTCTTTTGTTACTTTTTGCAGCCTACATTGTCATTTTAGTTTTAGTACATGCAGAGAACCTATGTAACTGTTGCTAGGATCAGTAAAAATGAAATAAGCCGAAAGAACTATTGTTTTTGTCAAAATAGCTATAATCAGCGGTTTTATTTAGGCCTTGTTGTTGTTGTTATGTGCCATTAGTCGCTTGCGACTCATAGCAGAATGAATGTCATCTATAAAGATTTCTAAAATTCTGATTGATTTCTTAACTATTTACATGTTCTCTGTTACAAAAATGTGAAAACATTATTGGATGTTAATTTTGCTTGCAAACTTTTAATTTTTAAACATCAGACTTCCAAGGGGAAGATGGATAAAGTATGGGAAAAACTGTGAAGTACCTGCAGTTAAACTGAATAGATTTTAGTTTGGTTTTCATCTTGGTACGAAAGGCCCTGTTTTTGTTGTTGTTGTATACCAGTGAGTCAGAACCAACCCTGGCTGACCTTCAATTAGATTTTCAGTGGCAGTTAGTCAAAGGGGAGATTGCCTATCCTTCTCCCCATTAAGATGGATTCAAACTGTATGCTTTTAGGATTGCAGCACAGCTTTTTACCACGAGGCTGCCAGCCCTCCCTAAGAAAGGCCCTATAGGGGCCTTTAAAGGAGTTAAACTATACTTTTGATATCATTATGTTTTATATTTATAGAAATTTGCCTGTTAAAAATTTTTAACATTTAGAGACATGGTGAAGAAGTATATAATTTCTGTTTCTTAATTCAGCATTTCACTCTGCTCATGAGTCATATTGTAAGTCCTGGTCACCTTGATGGCACCTAACAACAACATGATTAGGGTTTGATAACTTGACTATTTAGTACTTAAGGAGAGCGACGTTTTAGGAATAAAAATTTGTGGACGTATTGTGACATTCCTGGTAAACAATTTATCCAGAGTAAAGGTTGTTAAGAATTTTAAAGACAAAGCTTTTCAATTATGGTCCAAGTGAGTCCAGATTCAGACATTTTTGTGTCCAGATGTTCACCAGGGAATCCAGTATGTTGTTGGGAGGTCTTTGAAGGATGCAACATTGGCCTCACATGGAATCTGAACCATCAATGATGCTTTCTGAGAGTTTTTTGAAGGTTAATTGTAAGTGTGAAATGTTAGATGAATTAATTGATAAGTAAGGAGTGGATGTATGTTATATATTCTTAAAAACAGTGGACCTTGCTTAATGAGATTGTCTGAGGTTTTATACAAACACATTTAGATAGAAATAGTCTTCTGCAGAAGTTTTATGCATTTAAGAAATCGAAGGCTAATTATATAGGGCTCATAAATTTGTTTTCAGCCTGATATTTAAAAACATCAGTTTCTCTTAGTCCTAAGTTTCTTATCCATGTCATTGAACTTGATTTTTCATAGCTGTTCTCCTTACTCTTCTGTTGCTTCTGTGAGCATTATGGCTGTTGAATTCCAGCTATCAAGGCAAATAAAGTTTGTATGTTAATAAAGGGCTTCTTAATATATAAACTCAACCACAAGCCTCCTGCCATGGAGTTGATTCCAGCTCCTACCCATCTTCCATCAGGTTTCTGAGAGTAGACCAATTTAAGTATATAATTGATGTTGTTTGCTAGCAAGTTGGAACCAATTCATATCTTTATGAGAGTAGACCAGTTTAAGTATATAATTGATGTTGTTTGCTAGCTAATTGGAACCAACCCATATCTGACCCTCTTGCATGTTTTCAGAAACAGTCACACAGGAGATTGCCCATCTTTCTCCCACAGAACATCTGATGGACTCAGACTGAATACATTTAGGCTTGCAGTACAGTTTCTTACCAGTTGGCCACCAAGGCTCTGTATGTTGATAGTAACTGAGTTGAAGTGTAGTAGAGATTATTTTTTGTGACAGAGCAATGGTAAAATAGTAAACATTTGTTTTTAAAAATGATTTAATTACTGGATATGTGAATTTGTTTCTGCTTTCAGACTCTAAGGCTTAAATTAAAATGTAAATGTTTTTGAAGTACTAAGTATTAGTGATTTTATTGGACTACATCTTGTAATCTTCATAGTCAGGAACTATTCATTAAATGTAATCGTTAGAATACAGTAGACATCCAGTTGCACATTTATTGAACCAGTAGGTATATGGATGTGGAAGCAGGAGTGGCATCCACTACCTAAAAAAATGCCTCTGGAAACTGTATGAACTTTGATAGGTGTCCATAGTTCTAGAAAGGCTTCAGTCCTTTTGTTCATACATAGTGTCACTCTTAGCCATGCTCAACCTCAATGGCAATTAACAACAGGTATATAGAACAGTGTCTTGCTGAGGTTTATTATATCTTTAAAGTGTCATTTACTTAAGCGACACCATTAGAATTCTTAGCATTTTTATGGTTCCCAAATTTGAGATTGATCTGGTTCAAAGATTGAAATCATACATTTGGACACATCTGGATATAATTGATGTATTGAAGTACCTATTTCTTTAATGAAATTGCATAGGGGAAAATATTTTCTGTCATATATAATTAATACTCTTGAAAGTGTATGAGAACAGTAACATGAGTCTTTTCTCCTTATATGGTATTTTTTAATAAAATTTTTCTTGTGATTTTAAAACATGGATTTCCATTTATTCATTGTTGCGCATTCTCCTCCCTACCTGCCTAGAGTTTGCTTTTCTCTTAAAAAAATCATTCATTGTTGCAAAAATCATTCACTGTTGGACAGTTTCTCCCTCTCTTTTTGCCCCCAGTCCACTTGGCTAGGCACTTCTTATTATGGACTGTTGTCATGCAAAAAATACCTAATCATATATTTCTTTTAAGCAGTTCTTTTCCTCATATGTTCCAATGTAGTTTTATTATTTATTTCCTCTTTTCTTAGTTTCACTTCAACCCCCATGTCAGTCTTGTTTTATAACAGTAACATTATGCAGTATTTGTCCTCTTGTGATTGAAATATTTCACTTAGCATAATGTCCTTCAAGATCACCCATTTTTTATAAAATTTTTAGCTCCTTGTTTTTCAGTGCTGTGTAATATTCCGTTGTGTAAGTATACCACAGCTTCTCTATCCATTCATTTGTTGATGGGCACTTGGATTGTCTTAATCTCTTAGCTGTTGTGAATAATGCAGCAGTAAATGTAGATGTGCATCTGTCTGCTTGGGTGGCAGTTCTGGTTTCTTTAGGATATATTCCCAGTAGTGGAATTGCTGGGTCAAATGATATTTCTATTTCCAACTTTTTGAGAAAGTGTCATACTGCCTGCCATAGTGGTTGCACCGTTTTACACTCCCATCAACAGTGAATAAGGGTGCCAGTTGCTCCACAAACTCACCAACATTTGTTGTTTGCTGCTCTGTTAAACTTTGCTAGTTTTGCTGGGATGAGATGACATCTCATAGGTTTTTTTGTTTGTTTGGTTTTAATTAAATTTTATTAATTTTAATGAACATTTACAGAGATTTTGAGTTTCCATTCATTCATTGTTGCACTATTTTCTCTACCCTCCCCCCCAGTTCGTTCCTCTTGTTTTCCCCCCCTTGAAAGTCTGTTTTAATTGTCCAGTTACCACAGTGCTTGTCAAAGCCATTTCTGATTAATCTCCTTTGTCAGTGTATCCTTTGCCATTCTGTATCACTCCTCCCTGAGAGAGACTTAACCCCGATTCATAAGAAAAAGGGGATGGCATATTCTCTTAACTACTTCCTGCTGAAAAGGGACGCTGTAGGTTTCAGGGTGAAGATCTTCTCTCACTACTCTAAAGGGCCCCTTTGGCAATAGGAAGCACGTGGACAATTGTGGAAATTGATTTGGAATGTAGATGCACTGTTATCAATTGTGCTTAGCCGTACATGTTCATATCCTTGAAGATGTATCATGGAAGTGCTGCAGCCTGTTGTTGTTGTTGTTGTTATGTGCCGTCGAGTCGCTTGCGACTCATAGCGACCCTATGTACAACAGCCCTAAACTCTGCTCTGTCCTGTGCCAATTGCACTGTCTCTGACACTCCCATCCCAATTATCCCAGTCACTAAATCAATCCACCTCATAGAGGGCCTTCCTTTCCTGCGCTGTCCCTCCACCTCCCAAGCATGATATCCCTCTCCAGGGACCGGTCCCTCCTCACAACATGTCCAAAGTATGTTAGAGGGAGCTTCCGAATCTTTGCCTCCAAGGAGCCACCCGGTTTAACCCTTTCCAGGACAAATCTGTTTGTTTTCCTAGCAGTCCATGGTATTCTCAATACTCTTCTCCAGCACCACAGCTCAAAGGCATCAATTCTCCTTCTATCCTCCTTGGTCATTGTCCAAGTCTCTGATGCATAACAAGTGATTGCGAAGACCATAGGCTGTATCAGACGCACCTTAGTCTCCAGAGAGACACCATTGCTCTTCAGTACTTTGGAGAGGTCCCTAACAGCAGACTTTCCCATGGCAATGCGCCTTTGAATTTCCTGGCTGCTGGTGCCAAGACTGTTGACTACAGAGCCAAGCAAACTAAAGCTTTGTACAATCTCAATCTCTTCACCATCCATCCTGATGCTGCCATTTGGTCCAGTGGTGAGAATCTTTGTCTTCTTGACATTGAGCCTCAATCCATATTGTAGGCTGCAGTCCATGACACTCTGCAGCAGGCGCTTCAGGTCCTCTTCAGTTTCAACAAGCAGGGTTGTGTCATCCACATAATGCAGGTTGTTGATAAATCGTCCACCAATCTTGACCCCACATTTCTCCTCATATAGCCCAGCCTCCCGGATAATCTGTTCTGCATATAGGTTGAAAAGGTATGGAGATAGGATGCATCCCTGGCGTATGCCCTTCTCAATTTTGAACCATGCAGTGTTCCCCTGCTCTGTTCTGACGACTGCCTCCTGGTCCAAGTATAAGTTTCGCATTAGAATGATCAAGTGCTCTGGGATTCCCATTCTTCTCAGAGTCAGCCACAGTTTGTTATGATCTACACAGTCAAATGCCTTTGCATAGTCAATGAAACACAGATAGACATTCCTCTGGTATTCCCTGCTTTCATCTAAGATCCATCTAACATCAGCTACAATATCTCTAATACCACGACCCCTTTTAAACCCAGCCTGGACTTCTGGTAGTTCTCTGTTGATTTGCTGTTCCAGTCATTTTTGCATAATCTTCAGTAAAATCTTGCTTGCATGTGAAATCAGTGAGATTGTTCTGTAGTTTCCACATTCTGTTGGGTCACCTTTCTTTGGAATAGGAACAAATATCGATCTCTTCCAATCAGTTGGCCAAGTGGTCGTTCTCCAGATTTCTTGGCACAACTTGGTGAGCACGTCCAGGGCAGCATCTGTTAACTGAAATATGTCAATTGGTATACCATCTATTCCTGGAGCCTAGAAGACACAAATTTAACTAACAAGTTAAAAGTACATGAGTCAAAAATTAAAAAGCAATAATATTCCAAGTAGATGTTCTAACAGTGGCACAAATCATGTTACAGAAGGAAGGTAGTTCTTAAAATAAATGGCCTATTGACTAGTACTTTGTCTATTATAGTATAAAGGTTAGGAACCACAATATGTAGATGCTCAACTGTATCATTAATTGTTCTTAAGTTCTGGAGCCAATTCCATCTACCACTGGGTTGTTTTACAGCTTGGAAGTCCACATGCAAGGCAGAGGTAAAGTAAGGAACTGCTTATGAGGTTTTTTGATGAGCATCTCTCTTAGAGCTTGAACATTTCTTCATGTGTTTGTTCGCCATCTCAGTGTCTTCTTTGGTGAAGTATCTGTTCATATCTTGGAAAACTTACAACCAGGAGAAAATAAAATAGATGAAGGAGATAACTTCTAAGAATCAAATCCCTATGTACAATCAAAAAACTTGAACAGGATTAAAAGGAAAGTCACACTGGGAAAATATTTGATAATAACATGTCTGATAAGGGACTTATATGTAAAATTTATAGAATACCCCAGCACCTCACAAGATAAAAGTAAACAATCCAATCGCAAAATGAGCCTTGTTTGGTATTTATTAAAATAATTATTCCTTTCAAAATATTAAACGGTGTATTATATTCTCGTTTCCTAAGTCATCCTCACTGCTGATGGAAATAGCCTAACTGTAACAATGGTCATCTTTTTCTTGTTTTTCCCTATTGTTTTGTCAATAGTGAGGAATTGGGCGAATTTATGGAGTTGAAAGGTGCCAACAGCCCTGGAATTCTTGTGTTAACTACTGGCCTCAGCAAACCATTTATGCGCCTAGATAAATACCCCACATTACTCAAGGAACTTGAAAGACATATGGAGGTATTAATTTTTTTACATTTCTGTCTTTTAGAATCCATTAGTTAACGAATTAGTGGTATTGTCACCAGATTTACTATATGAGAAATTATTAATAATAATTTCTTTTAGAAGCTAGGACAACAATTAGTTTACCAAAAGTTTTTCATTTAATAGCTTTTCTCAATGATTTTATTAAATATTTCTTTATCCTTACCCAGCTCAGTAGTACAGCAGTTAAAGACATTTGCATTTTCATCTACTCCTTTGTCCACTGCTTCCAATGGAGAAATTGTCAAATGCTGTAGAATCATAAATTTTAAAACACTGTTGTGATAGTTTTATATGAATGGTTGAATGAGATACAAGTTTGCCTTATAAACTTTCATTCAAATTACAATTTTTCAAAGAGGAAAAAATCTCCATTGTGGTGTTATATTAGGAACTTTCGGTTTAAGACCTTAAGTTATAATGTAACAACCTGTAAAGGGAATTATCTTCATTTTAACTAGCACACTGTGAACTCAAGATCCTCTCTTAGCTAGAGGTCAGTAAACATTTTTGTGCAGAAGTTTTTATTAGTTTTGTTGAGTTGCCATAATGACGTACCACAAATTGTATATGGATTTTAAAAACAGATTCATTCTCACATTTCTGGAGGCTGAGAGTATAGATTCAGGGTATACTCAAGCTCACATTTTCTCTGCTGTAGAAGATTTTCCCTTGTCTAAGATTCTGGTTATCTCAGAACTTGTGGTCCTTGACTTGTAAATGCATCTTCACATGACCATCTTCGCTCTGTGTTTTTTACACTTTGTAACTCAGAGTGAATGCCTTGCTCCAGTATATCCTCTTGTAAACTGATAACATCTTCTAAGACTTTATTTCCAACAAGATCATGTTCACAGATACTAGATATGAGGACCTAAACAAATCTTTTTGGGGAATGCTATTAAAATCCATAACTGGATACTTAATCTTTTTAATGTCTAGTCTTTTTCACACTTACTCAGCTCAAAAGTTACAGTCCAAAAATCTGTTGACATGATGTTGTCAATTCGGTTTTTAGAGCCTCTAATAAAAGACGCTGTAGACAATATGTAAACAAATGGTGTTGCAGTTAAACTTATGTATAAAATCCACAGTTTGTTTTACTGACCTCTACTATTGAGTTTTCTGTTACAAATTATTTTCATTTAAGTGCATTATATTTATTAAGCCTGAGATTGTTGGCTTTTTGATGATTCCCTTAAAGAATAAGAAATAATATTTCTGTCCAGTGCTGGGGTGGGGGGTAGGAATGGCAGATTAAGAACTGAAAGTTTCAAGGTTTTCTTTTTAAGAAAAACATTTCATTATGAAAACTAATTGTGTGCTGCTTTTATTCAAAGGATTACCATCCAGATCGACAAGATATTCAAAAATCCATGACTGCCTTCAAAAACCTTTCAGTAAGCAACTTACTTTTCCTTCCTCAATTACTATAACAACAAAGGAATGTAGAATATCTTTATTGACTGAAAAGTTAGATGAAGAAAAAATTATTTGTATTATATAATTCATGGTTTTTTGCAAATGAAGCCGTAATAGTGGATAAATGCATCACTAGAAAATTCTTATGATTGCACACCAGAAAAATCAAAAGATAATATCATTTTTAAAAATTATAAGTATGGCACAAAATAATTCATGTTTTAGTTAACTAAAGGACTTAAAATATGTTTTAATCTTCATCTACTATGTCTTTTTAGTAATACAGCTTGAACCCTAAGAGTAGGGGCTCTGATGTGTCTCTTGTCACGGTATTTTACCAACTGTGCTTTTGAAATACATGTTTTGTTTGTAGCACAAGTTATGATTACTCCTTTTCCCCTTTCTTCTCAGTCTTCTGAGTAATAAAAGCAGAAAGGTTTTTTTGGTTTGATTTTCTTTCCTCCCTTTGTCGAGTCTGCATTTCTTCCTAAAAGTAACAAAATCTCTTGTCAAGTAACATGATCTCAGTAAGTCATTGGCTGACTTGCTGCTTATGTTCCAGTTGTTTATTTTGCTTCTCCTGATTAGAATTATATTTGTGAATTAAGAAGTTTGATAGATTATTTTAAGAACAATAAATGTTCTACTCTACCACACAGACAGTCATTACAACACACACAGTCACCTCAGGTCAGAATCAATTCAGCAGCAATTACTTTGGATTGTCTTGTTTATGTTATCCATCTAAAATATACTTGCTATTAAGTGAGGTAAAAAAACAAAAGAAGAACTGTGACCAAAACCTTAGATTCTGGACATTTCTGTCTCTCTTACCAGTTTGTTCTCTGTTTTCCAGGCCCAGTGTCAAGAAGTACGTAAGAGGAAGGAGCTTGAGTTACAGATTCTGACAGAAGCTATCCGAAGCTGGGAGGGAGATGACATTAAAACTCTGGGCAATGTCATATACATGTCACAAGTCATGATTCAATGTGCGGGAAGTGAGGTAATGTAGATGAAAAATATGTCCTGAATGTGGTTTTTGTCATCTCTGTGGAATGATTAAATGTATACAGTGGTGGAAGGAACACATTAAGGGACCACCACCAGAGAGACATGTAGACAGTTACAATCTCACAGTCTTATAAAATTTAAAAGAATGTCAAGCAGTGACAGGTAAAATGTAATAGAAATTTTATGACTTATTGTCTACGTTTATCCTTGATATATATAAAAGAAACTTCACTTAAAACCCACTGTCATCAGGTCTGTTCTGACTCAAAGTGGTGGTGGTGGTATGTTGTCGCTGTTGAGTCAACTGTGACTCATAGGGACTCTGAACTGTAGCTCTGAACCCATCCCTATCCTGAGCCAGTCTCACTGTCTCTGACACACCTGCCTGCATTGCCACAGTCACTATTATCAGTCCATCTCCTCCAGGGTCTTTTCTCCTGCCAGAGTGACCCTACATCGACTTTCCAAGTACAGGAGACCTCTCTTCTTTCTCCAAAGTAATTTGTGGATTTAACCTGCTAAGACAGTGCAGCTTTTTGTTTGTGGTTTGTTTTTTGTGAAGTGGTTTAGTGTTTATTTGAAGCATGCTAAAGAACTCTTTAGATATTACTGTTTCTGTGACTCCTTTTAGATTGTTGGAAGTTGTTTTTTTCCCCTTTAGTTATAATTACTTGGCTTTTGTTATATAATTGAAGGAGACTGTTTTTTGTTTTCTTGGGTTTTTTGTGTTGTTGTTTTTTTTTTTCCTCAGTTTAATGTAATTTTTTGGTTTTGTTTTTGTTTTGTTTTTTTTTTACAGAGGTTTTGGATTTCCATTCATTCATTGCCGCAGTTTTCTCCCTGCCCACCCCTCCCCACCAGTTTGCTTCCCCCTCCAAAGAGAGAGAGAAAAAAAAATTCCTTCATTAGTATACAATTCCCACATCCCTTCCCCCCCCCCCCCACCCCGAGTACACTTCTCTATGCAACCTTAATTCTGGATTCCTGTGCTAACCATAATACTCAATCATACATCACTTCTAATCTGTTCTTTCCCTCATCTGTTTCAATACAATATACATAATTTATCCAGTTTTTTCTGTCATACCCCCACCCTGATGTCAGACCCATTCTACAACAGTGGCATCATGCAGTATTTGTCCCTTTGTGACTGAGATATTTCACTCAGCATAATGTCCTCCAGGGTCACCCACTTTGAATAATATTACATGAGTTCCTTGTTTTTCAATGCTGCGTAGTATTCCATTGTGTGGATATACCACAGCTTCTCTATCCATTCTTTTTTTGATGGGCCCTTAGGCTGCTTCCAACTCTTTGCTATTGTAAACAAAGCTGCAATAAACGTGGGTGTGCATATATCTGCTTGGATGGCAGACATGGTCTCTCTTGGGTATATTCCCAGTAATGGGATTGCTGGGTCAAATGGTATCTCTATTTGCAATTTTTTGAGAAAGTGCCACACCGCCTTCCACAATGGTTGCACCATCTTACATTCCCACCAACAGTGAATAAGACTGTTTCAATTTATAAGTAATACTTTTAAGTTTTAAGTGACTTATATAAGCTTATGGAGGACAGCTTTGATTGGCCATACCTTTAAAGTTTTATAGAAGTAACAGAAATAATAATACCAAAGCTTAAAATTTTAGTCTTAACTTTAGTTTATATTATCTGCTTGGTCTTTTTACCTCTCCCTAAAGTATTATAGGTTCTTTTCCTCTCAACCATGTAAAGAAAATTTTGATTAAAAAAAAATCAAATCAGTTAATGACAGACCTGAGCTTGTTATGCAGATATTTTTTAAAAGCATACATAACTTTAACATAACAAAACTAACATAAATTAGTTGTGAGGCTACTTGCTAGTCTGAGATCTTTTAATAACTTTGTTTCCTTTATTACGTTTTTATTTTGAAGACTTTATTAAATCCTTTTGTCATACGTTAAAGCACATCTCAATAACGTTAATACTTAGTATAAAATTTATTATAATTTTGTTTCTTTTTTATCTAGCTCATAAAATCTAGAAGAAGTAAACCTAAACAGGAAGTACAATGTTTGATAGGGCATGTATAAAGGAACTGTTCGTGCTCACATCTATCTTATTGTGCTGGGTTTTTTTTAAATTATGTGAATTTCTTTGTTTATTTTACATTAGGAAAAGAATGAAAGATACCTTCTACTCTTCCCAAATATTTTGCTAATGTTGTCTGCCAGTCCTAGGATGAGTGGTTTTATCTATCAGGTAAAGCACGTTTTTAAATGATATTTTATTGTTTGAGTGACCATTTAGCATAATAAGAAAAACTCATGCACTACTTTTCTTTGGGAAAATATGAATGATCTTTTAATAAGAATGCAAGGTGATATTTCTTCTGATTTTGAACTTTGTAGTGTTGTGGAATGATTTCCTTCTCTATGGCTAATAAATGTTCTCATGGTTTCATTGCCTTTTCTCTGTGAAGTTGTTATGTAGCTTTGAGTCACCTATGAAACATAGCTACCCTATGCACAATAGCTCTGAACCCTGTCCTGAGCTAGTCTCACTGACTATAATATATCTAACCCATTACCCCAGTTACTGTGTCAGTCCATCTCCTCTAGTGTTTTCTGTCTTGTGCTATCCCTCCACAAGCTTTCTTTTTCTGTGAAGGTAATAGTACTATCTCTATAAATTTTCTTAAAAACTAATTAGTGCTGAGGTTGGTTCAGGATATGGCATTGTTCGTAGGATCACTATGGGTCTTGGTCAACTCTAGGGCATATAACGACAACAACAATCACCAGATGATTTAAGTCAGATGCATTGTTCTCTTTGATTTGCATTTCTCTGTAACATGATTATTTATATATTGTCCTCAGAAAGCTCAAGTGAATACCAACTCAAAAAAGAAACATATTTTGATTTTACCACCCCAAAAAGCTTTGGCTAATGCCCAAAAAGGAATTGTCATTACAGATTTATTCTAGTACAAGCATTTCAAAAGTCTGTAATGTAGATGTAGATGGATATATTCTGAAAAATAATGACTTAATTTCTAAGGCTGCTACTACCAAAGCAATGTTGTCCATGGGAGCTGCTGGCTGCTCCCCTGTTAAAGAAGCCTGATAAACCTAAATCTGAGCTCTTTCCAGTCAGCATCATTGGACTTCATAATGTTTTCCATCTTTTAAATTTTTCTTTCATTTTGAGGAGCTCTACTGTCGTAATCCGTAAGTAGATGTCCTGCTCACCCAAGGACAGTATCTCTGACAATTCAAATGTACTGAGGAAAACAGATGGTTAATCTCCTCCTATACAATTTAAAGCCTCAGAAACCCAGTGTAGGGTCAACTATGAGTTGATTCCAAGAGCAATGACTGACATTATACTTTTTATTGCGATTTGGAAAAGTTTATAGAGTGTGTTGGTTTTGCATCTAACAGTTTGTGCACATTTTAACTCTTGACATTGATTGTAATCACTTCACTGTAAACAGCATTCTTCCCCCTTCTCTTTGTTTACCTCTTGGTCTTGGTATTTTATAGTCTAAAAAATCTCCCTGTGTTAGATGTTAAATTTACCATAGCTGTGACTGAGTGGGTTAGCTAAACACGAGATCCTGCTTGCTGTTTAACTTTTAACAGATTTATAATTTACAGTAGGCTTACTTTCATACAATGCTAGTTGGGCTTACAGTATTTGGCTTGAGTGTTGTTATTGACATGCTATTGAAAATCTCATTCCAATGATAGGATCCCACATTTTCATTCTTTCTGCACAATGTTCTTAGAAATTTCTTCTCTGTTAGTGCTGTTTTACCTTTTCAATCTGTATGCGGAACAGATCATTCAGGAGGCTGGACTTTAAGAGGAGGAAAGTGGCATCAGAATTGGAAGAAGACTCATCAACAACCTGTGCTATGCAGATGACACAACTTTGTTTACCAAAACTGAGGAGGACTTGAGTCATTTGCTGCAGAAGGTCAGGGACTGCAGTTTTCAATGCAGATTGAAGCTCAGCGTTGAGAAAACAAAGATTCTCACCACTGGGACAATTGGCAGCATCATGATAGATGGAGAAGAATGATAGAGATTCTTAACAATTTCAACTTACTTGGTTCCACAGTCAACACACTTGGCACTTGAAGACAAGAAATAAGAAAACAAATATCATTGAAAAAAGGGGCTGTCAGTGACCTCTGCAGAATGCTGAAGAGCAAGGATGTCATTCTGGAGACTAAGGTATGCCTGATCCAGGCCATGATCTTCACAGTAACTTGCTATACATCAGAGAGCTGGACAATGAGTAAAGATGACAGAAGAAGAATCGATGCAGAATCGATGCCTTTGAGTTGTGGTGCTGAGTGTTAAATATACTATGGACTGCCAAGAGAACAAATAAGTCTGTTCTGGAGAGGGTAGAACCAAGTTGCTTCTTGAAGGCAAGGATTTTGTACTCTGTCTCATATACTTTGGGTATGTTGCCTCGAGGGACTGGTCCTTGGAGCAGGACATCATGCTTGGAAGGGTGGAGGCACGACGCAGGAGAGGGAGACCCTGGATGAGATGGATTGATACAGTGACTGGAACAGTGGGGGCACGTGTGTGTCAAAAGCAGTAATATCTCGGTTTAGGATAGGACAGGGTTTCAAGATATTGTACAAAGGGTCCATAGGAGTTGCAGGTGACAGCATATAACAACAACAACAAGTGCTAGGGCAAGATTTTTCATTATTGGCACTATTGTTAATTTGGGCTGGACAATTCTTTGTTTAGGGAGGGAATATGAGGTTGTCTGCGGCATTGTAGGACATTTAGCAGTATTTATAAACTGTACACAGTCAATGTCAGGAGTGTCTCTGTGAAATTTTTGCAGAAAGTTCCCTGATGGGGGGCAGAATTCTTTCCTTGATCCCACTGAAAAGTACTTTTAGAGCTTCTGATGGAAACATTCTCATTAGCTGAATAATTTTTCCATAGGCAACTTTGTTCAGAAAACATACAGTTTTATAAATAGTTGTTTGCTCACAATATATCATAGTTTTGCTTGTGGATCTGGGCTATGTTATTTTATTTTTAAAATATTTCTTTGTTACTAGTTATTTTATTGTGTGCTTATTCTAGTAATCTTTGTATTGTATTTCCTCTTCCAGTTGCCACATTTCTTCTTTTTTCAGAGAGAACTTAGATGCCAGCCTCCTCTTTTTTTAACATTGTGCACAACATGTAGCATAACTATATATTTTCTGTATACTGTATATTTAAATTACAAATATAACTATTTTTCCTACAAGGTTTTTTTGCCCACCTTTACTTTAGCCTTCAAATTTGGACCTTCTTCTGTATATCTTTATGAGACAGATAAATGCTTCCTTTCTGTATATAAAGCAAATAATTTTAAATGGCTGTTCTAAAGTGTACAACACTGAATGAGTATAAACATTTTAAAAACCAAGCAAACAAAACAAAATTAGCAGTTCTGGATACTAAGGGGGTTTTGTTACTTATTTTTTGAACTATAATGTGTAATATTTTTGTGTCCCGGTGTATATGCTTGGAGTAATTTATCAGATGAAGTTTAGTTTTATTCTTGTTTAATGATCTTCTCAATCTTTTCTTTTATTAAAGTTTTATGACTTCTTAGTTGGGATGGAAGGTTTTTACATGATGCATGCATGTGGTACAAAAAGAGCTTTTGTTTTTGGTTTCTAAATATAGTTCTTCTTTCATTTCTGTATCATTTAATATTTAATAGTGATATGTTCTTTAGTAGAAAAACACTAATTGCTTTTCTTTTGTTGGGGGGGCTCTTTTTTAGGGAAAGCTACCAACAACAGGAATGACAATCACAAAGCTTGATGACAGTGAAAATCATAAAAATTCATTTGAAATATCAGGTGATAGGCACAAACTTTTGTGAATACTATTTTTTGATGAGAGCTACACTATTAATTTGTTTGCATATTCTTGCTTAAATAATTGAGAGGGCTGATGTTTAAGCATTATTGAGTTATATTCTGGGTTTATGTATGTCCCAGCTTGTGTGTACATTTTTGCCAGTTGGTCTGTCTCAATCTGTTTTTGTTATCTCTTCTAGGGAACATGATTGAGCGGATATTAGTATCATGCAACAACCAGCAGGATTTACACGAATGGGTGGATCACCTACAGAAACAAACTAAAGTCACGTCTATCGGAAATCCCACAATTAAGCCTCATTCTGTGCCATCTCATACAGTAAGGACTCGTGCTACACTTTTCTGACTCCAAACAGTATCAGTCTTTGGTTGAGCTCTCAGGAAATGATCATATACTTAATAACAACTGATATCTAGATCCATAATATAGTATATTTGCTTCATAGGTCTCTGCAGATAGTTGTTTCTTATCCATCTGTTGGTTTCATACGAATCATTATCATGAAGCATCCTGAAGCTGTGAACTCATACTCTATTTGATAAAGATGAGACCATAGACTGTGTCTCTTAGGATCTTAAAGAGTAACATAGGAGAGTTTTCTATTAATCCCCACAAGCCACTGGCTACTGCTTATTTTTCCAATAATTTTAACTTTATTTACTACATTTAATAAAATATAACTGATTGTGGTGGTTTTCAAAAAAAAGAGAAAGGACAGATTCTTGTTGAAGACTATAAAATATAATTCTTAGTTTTTATTTTAAGAAAGTCTTATTTTTACTTAGAAGAGCTTAGTAGTTCTGTTCATTTTTCATGTGCTTAAAACTCTGCCAACCAATACCAAGGTTTCAGTGTATAAAACTTTTTTTACTGGCTTTTCATAATTAAAATAATCAGTACAAAATTATTTTAATATTCATCATTAAATATTAACATTTAAAACTGGATGCACCTTTTAAAAATGAATAATTATAAAACATTTGTTTATAGAAATTTTTCTTCAGTCTGTATAAGATTATTATGAGCTTTATTAAGGCTTTTTCTCCCATTTAAGTTTATTTCCCCATTCATTCTTCAAATTAAGTTTTAAATCAAGATACCTTAGTGTGGAGAGAAATTGCTTAGAGTGTCATTGTACCCTCCATATTCCAGCAGTCCATTTGCTTTAGCTAACATTTTCAGTGGCTGTGCCATTTGTAACCTTGCCATCCTCTAAAAAAGACATTGCTTTATGCTTATAGAGAAAAATGGCAGTCTCTTTTTTATTCATACTCTCAAAAACAAGCTAAAACTAAACTTTATTAAATTTTTTATCAAATAAAATTTTACTGGGTGCTTGAACCTAGGCATCACTCTTTCTTTTTGTTATTACTCACTGGCAAGGAAGGTGTCTTCTAAAAGCCTAGTTATTAAGTCCTATGTACAAGACTGTTCCTCAGAAAATGAACTTTTGAAATGTTCTCTGTTCTTTCTAGGAAATTCTTTTTTGAGAGGAATATGCATTCTCCCTGTCATCTGACTATATCCAACATGAATAGTGGTCTAATTTTAACATAAAATAATAGCAAATTTTGCTTTTTCAAGTTAGGAAAAATAGAATCAAACACTACTTTGACATTGTTGTCACAAGGAATCTCTTGCAAAATTTTCTGTGAGTTTTTAACATTTAACAACTCAAAGATTTTAATATAGTTATATTTACACATTATTAATCTCACACTCTCAGTCACCATTCTTCCACCAAGGACTGGCGTGTGATGTTTTTACAGCTTTTATAGAAAGTTAAGTGCACATGTTCTTGGCTGTCATGACTTTGGCTTCTTAACATGCTTTTTAGATGTTAATTTTTTAGAACAGTGACCTCACTTTAGTGATCCATTTAGCTCATGAGCCTGTTACATATACTTCATTGTCATTGGCTGATTTTAGGTCATTGGTCAATATTGAGTGTTACTTCTTTTATTTCACATTTTCTTTATTAACTGTTAGTATAATGGATCTTTAAAAAACAAACAAACAAACATCATTTTTATCAAAATGGATTACATTTTCTAAGTAAAGAAGATCTTTATCCCAGAGATTGGCAATTTTTTTCTTGCAGAGAGGCAGATAATAAATATTTTCAGTTTTATAGTCCATAAAGTCTCTGTTGTCAGCTGTTACAACAGCAGCTGTTGTAGTATGAAAGCACCATAGACAATAATAAAAGAATGTTCATAGTTGTGTGCCAGTAATTTTTTAAAAAAATATATATATGCAAAAGCAGTGGGCAGACCCTAGTTTTGCTGACCTTATATCACCAAAGAAACCCTCGTGGTGTAGTTTGTCACGTGTAGACCGCTAACCAAAAGGTCAACAGTTGGAATCTTTCAGTCACCCTAGTAGAAATGTGAACCATTTCTAGAGAGAAGAGAGGGTCATTTTCTCTTATAAAGATTTACAGCCTTAGAAACCCAGTGGAAGGTCTCTGTGAGTTGGACCTGACTTGATAGTGGTGGGTTTGGGTTCTGAGTCTCTCACCAGCTAGTAAACACTCTCTAACTTGAGGTGAGGATGTCCTGGCTTCCCCCCCCCCCCCCCCGCCCAGTACAAAGGATATCTGTTCTTTTCATTTTCATGATAAATGAAACAACCTGTTTCCCCAAAAAACATTATTCTCATTGCAAATGAAGTGAAATTTTCAGGACTGATTTCAGTACTGTTCATTACTGATAGGTGCATGATTTTATGAAGAAAGTAGCATTAGAAACCTTTTGTCTTAGCACGGATATGTCACAAGCTGACTGAAGTATTTGACACAAGAAAACTAGCTTTTAAAAATTGAGGATTTAAAAAAATACTATATTGGAATTATTTTATTTAGAATGGGTTTTTTTTTTATGGTGTTTGTTTTTAAAGTTCTTAAATTTATTTGATCAGGCTTTCTTTTACTGCAAATGCACCAGAAATTTACATTTATTTGTTCTCTTTTCTCAAAATCTGTGCACTTGGCAGCTACCTTCCCACCCAATCACACCATCCAGCAAACATTCAGACAGCAAACCAGTGCCACTGACTCCTGCATACCACACGCTCCCACACCCTTCACATCATGGGACTCCACATACTACCATTAATTGGGGTCCTTTGGAGCCTCCTAAAACTCCCAAACCATGGAGCCTGAGCTGCCTGCGACCTGCACCTCCTCTACGTCCTTCAGCTGCTCTATGTTACAAAGAGGTGAGGTCCTTTGACCATTCTAGTAGCTACTGTAAAAAGTACGATATAACAGAAGTAAAGTTATATTCTGAGTGTATTAAAGTGATCATTTTGTACTTCATCCCATTTTATTTCAATGTATTTAGAAATATTGGCAATGCAGTATTTTTCTCTGTCGCACAAAAAAAAGCAGATTGTCGTCTTCATCACTGAAGAAAGGTCTGCCTTCATTCACTGTCATCACCTTATGCTGCTTTAAGGACCAAAGAGGCCCACATTAGACCTGTTAGGGAAAGGTTTGTGTAGCACTGGCTCTTTTCCTCTGCAGTTTCACAATGAGACGTTTTCTATATAGTTAAGTTTTGTGCTCATGTCACTTCCGGCTCTTCCTTAATTTTTCAGACTTAAGGCACAAGGAGCAAAAAAAAATTTTACATGAGTTGTCTCTTGGTGAGCCTCAGATTATTTTTAATTTCCAATTATTGAAAACTATCACTTTATTTCTGTATACTGTTCTGTTACCCATTAAGTCCCTTTCTTTAAGTGCTCTACATTTTGTCACTAGGTAGCTATTTGACAAGAAGAGAACATATAGGGGAAAAAAGAAAGAAAAATAATTAAGACACCTGTCTGCTTTGAAGGGAGCTCTGGTGGCTTACTGGTAAGAAGCTGTGCTGTAATCCCAAAGGCACGGGGTTTGAATACACCAGTTACTCTGCAGGAGAAGGATGGGCATTCTCTTCTTGTGCGATATACTTCCTCTAAAAACCCACTGAAGGGTCAGCAGTGGGTTAGTTCCGACTCTATGGCACACAACAATAATAATCTGCTTTGATGTGTAAGGTATAAAATACATTTTTTTAAATCTATTTATTTGTTTGTTTGTTTATTTTAGTGTGTGTGTGTGTGTGTGTGTGTGTGTGTGTGTGTGTGTCTGTGTACCGTCAGATCAGATCTGACTAGTACAGGAGGAGATTGTCCCTCCTTTCCTGGCAGAGCATCTGGTGGATTCGAACCATGCGCCTCTGGGATTGCAGTGCAGCTTCTTGCCACTAGGCCACCAGAACTCCCCTTATAAAATACAACATTAATTTTAACCCTGTTCATTTCTGTCCATAAATATGGACTAATAGTTTCATATGCTTTTACCTAAGCCACTCATGTTTATTGAATAGATTAAATAGAAATTTTGACACCCGATACAAAGTTTTAATGTCCAGTTTGAAACTACTTTTTCAAAGAAAACCCAAGTAGCCCCTCTATATTTGCCTTGTTATTGTTAGATGTCATTGAGTCATAAACCGTAGTGACCCTCAGAACAACAGATATGAAATCTGTCCTGTGACCCTAATTATCTAAAGACATATAAGAGTGCCAGTAGGAAACGTGCTGTAGTAAATCTAACATTTTTGCATCTTTTTGTTTCTAATGAATTTGTTATGACATGTCTCTTGGTAATAGTCAGATATTCATTTAAAGAATTTCTTTTTTTTTATTATTATTTCTTCTTTTTGTATCGTCAAACTGGATCTGACTGGTACAGGAGGAGATTGTCCCTCCTTCTCCAGCAGAGCATCTGGTGGATTTGAACCAGAGCTCGCCCATTTAAAGAATTTCTTAATCATGGGCATTTAGTTTCAAAATACTGATTTTTAAAAATCATATAGTTAGTGCTACAGTATAAAGACAAAGTAAGATAAGGCGGTCAAGAATTGTTTTAATTACTAGAACAGAAAACTGAGATAATCCTGTTGTTGTTATGTGCCATCGTGTCACTTGCGACTCATAGCACAAGAGCCCTAAATGCTGTTTTATTCTGTGCCAACCTCGCCGTCTCAAACACACTCATTCCCACCACTCCACTCACAGAATCGATCCATCTCATCAAGGGTCTTCCTCTCCTCACCATCCTTCCACTCTCCCAAGCATGATGTCCCATGCCCAAAGTGTGTCAGACGAAGCTTCAGAATCCTTGACTCCAAGGAACATTCCAGCTTCACCTTCTCCAGAACAAACCTGTTTGTTCTCCTAGCAGTCCATGGTATATTCAAAACTCTTCTCCAGCACCACAGCTCAAAGGCATCAATCCTCTTTCTATCATCCCTATTCACTGTCCAACTCTCTGATGCATAGCACGTAATTGCGAAGACCATAGCCTGGATCAGGCGCACCTTAGTTAAGGAAATAAGGTTGAAATGAGTTTAAAAGCAAAGCTAAAAAATATTAGAAAGCAAAAAAGAAAGATATTGTAATAAATATAAGCTTGATTTATATTCAACTGGCTACAGTTGTTTTACTGGGCTTTATGGTGGAGGTATACTTCATGTGCTATAGTTGTTCACTATTAGTATTTCATGACATTTAGTCAGAAATAATCTTCTATAACATAACAAAAGAAAATGGAAATTCACTGAAAGCTAATCTTAAGATACCAAGTATATTTTTATATATTGGCTTTAAAGCCCTGTGAATATGAACTGCCCTTCTAGTCAAACATACAGACATGTATTTATTCATGTTGATAGACTTACCAAAGAATATCACTGTTAGAATTGTTGTTGTTATGTGCCGTCAAGTCGCTTTCGACTCATAGCGACCCTATGTACAACAGCCCTAAACTCCGCTCTGTCCTGTGCCAATCACACTGTCTCTGACACTCCCATCCCAATTATCCCAGTCACT